ATGCATGAACAATGACTACAGAATAAAATATATGTTTCAAGGACGATTCGGATGTAGATGAAAGCCGTACGGTGTCAATATTTATCGACCGCATCTATCTTCCAGAATTTTCTCGTCTATTGCACCCCAGCTTCGATGACGTTAAAGTTTACGTAGACTGGTAAATTCCCTTAATTTATTGCTAATGATATCAGTCCATATTTTCCACACGGTCTAATCTTGCTTATAAAATCCTTTAAAGGTTCTTTTTGGATTATCCACAGGAAGAATCAAGAACCCCAGATGCTATCACACTTCCTCGCGTTCCAGACAGCCCTGGAGTGTTTGCCTACAAAAAAGGTTCAGAAAATCCTATAAAATCCAAATGTATCAGCTGCAAAATGAAATATTTTAAGAATTTCAACTATCCAAGCGGCGTGTGGCCTTACTTGAGCAATGGCTTGAACTGGGCAATCGCCTCGATTTCACTTTGATAACTGAAGGGGAGGATAGCGAGGAACTGGCAGTAGCACAGCTGGAACTCGGTCGTACTGCCACTGACGAAACTGTAACTATTCAATGTGGGCCTTTTACTTCACCAATATATTTATTCACCAGTAATCGTATATTTGAGTTCTGGACATAAATGGAGAACATTATGCGGATTTGGACCTCGTCGTTTCCTATCCATCGCAAATATTTGACTGCCTGAAGACCTGATACCGTCGATTGATCATATGATTTTATTTAAAGTGCTCAAATTGTGTACGGCAACGATATAAAGATTACTCAGAGAAAGTGTCAACTTCATCATTAAAACTGTTGCAAATTATTCTTAACTTTAAATAAATGGAATATCGTGCTTTACGCTTATACGAATAGAACAAGTAGCTGCAAAAGTTTCGGAAATTTTTAAAAAATTGCAAGATGCCGGAATTCGTTCTAAGTTTTACCTTCTTATATAAATCGAAATTGACACATGAGAAACATACTCTGGCACTTTGAAACTATTTTTATAGCAAGGACTAACATCCTGAAAATTGACAAAGGAGAATTGTCAACTGAGAGTAAGGTTTTATCTTGTTGAACGTCTCAAACATATGAAGCCCTGATTCTTTGTTTAGCAGTAATGTATTAGGAAGTTTCGAAGCTATATAGATGACATGAAGTACACACCTTTCTAGCAAATACTTGTTCTATCAATTGTAGAACTTCAACAATTGGACCAATACCCCCCATCACAAAAAAA